GAACTTCCAGTTATCCGATTTCCAGAGAAGCAAAATAAATGGATGCAGTGTCAAGCTAAACGAAGCCCACATTCACAATAAGACATCAAGTCAAATCTGACCCAGTCACTGAAAACTTGCAAGTCAAATTCAAGGGTCCCTCCCCATTCATCCTCTGCAATTGGCGAATGTATTCGGAAGTAACGCGAATGATAGTAAGTGCCAACACCACCCGCTTTCTATGATTTCCTCTTCTGTAGGTTGTTTGGAAGCAATTTGATGGCAGTCCAAAATCCTGATTTGTAACAGTACCAATTTACTATTGAAACTAATGAATTGAATAATAGAGAAATTGCTAGTCCGTTGCAAGAAATCGAAATATGCCTAAGCTCATAGATAAAGCGAGTTCTGACAAATGCAAAAAAAAGGTACTTGATTTTCATCATCGCCTGCAAAGCAGCATCGCAAGTGGACTCAACATCTTGCACCAGGACAGAAAGTGCGCTATTCGATATGCTATAGAACAGTTCCATTTCCTGATTCAAATCAATGCTCTGCAAAACTGGTATTAGTTCATTCATTTCTTTACCAAGCCCATGATAATAACATCAAACTGTTTGTGGAAAGTCACACAACAACTTCAAACATCTTGACCCTCCATCCTGAGCAGCCTCATTTGGAACTGTACTGGCCATTTTCCCCAAATCCCTTTAGAAAAAATGTGAATTTTCCTCATTTTCAACCTACAACAGATAAAATCAGCAGGAAGTGGCCGAAGTGATAGCAAACTGCAACCCGCAGTTAAGAATGCCGATTGTTTCCACTTCCGAGGGTTGATTAAAAGCAAACGAAAAATTTTACAAATCAACGAATCGTAGTCACTCGCCAACTCCCACTAATAATCTGAGCTTGAAAGAAGACCCGATTTATCACATCGCTCCTTTCCTATGCCGTGAGATTAAAAATAAGTGTGCGAGCTACCTGAACCCGTTGTTTCAGTTTGTCCTGTAACTGCAGTGTTGTTTCAGCACACCAATCAGCTGTAGCCAGTATGCAACACGTGAAGAACTGCTGATCAACTGTTAGACGCACTGCTGTTTCATCCCTGGAATAATTAGCAAGGAAACACAGGGAAAGAAGAATCGAATCTGCTAGGCGTAGGGTAGGTTTGCTCATAAGGTCACGCATTAAATGCAGTACTCGCCAGGCAAAAAAAGTGAACAGTTAGAGGAATTTCACAAAAAGTTATTAGACGCATAGCAGAAAGAACAGTAAATGTACAGTTTGGAAGAGAAAAATAAGCTACAGGGTTGAGGTTCTCGAATTCAACCAATTTTGATGGTAAACAAATGTATGATATGAGGGAACGACTAAAAAAACGGCATTAAATGCAACAGCGATCGTCACACAGCAAATGGCCAAGCGCTTTCTCGAACGAGCTCTGCAAAATGCAAAAAATTGGCCAACGCACGGGCTGCCCGTGCGAAGATGCGTTTTTTGCAGAGTTCCCCG